TGCCTCTCCTCCCTTCTGGTCCTTGGAGTCCCAGGAGGAGGGAAAGGACTTTCCACAGAAGGTTGGACTTCTCACTTTGTAGCCTCTGCAGCTGTCACCAAGAGAGAACTCAACTGTTCGGAAAAATAAAAATCAGAGTTTTATCAGGCTCAATACTCAGCCACTTGCAAAGAAATAGAGATGTGTCCAACTTTAAAAAAACATGCATTTCTACTGATGTGTGTGTGTGTGTAGCTGTGTGTGTGCAGCTGTGTGCATGTGTGTGTGTTGTAGCTGTGTGTGTAGCTGTGTGTGCACCTGTGTATGTGTGTGCCTGTGTGTATGTTGTAGCTGTGTGTAGCTGTGTGCAGCTGTGTGTATGTGTGTAGCTGTGTGTGTAGCTGTGTGTGTAGCTGTGTATGTGTGTGCCTGTATGTGTGTAGCTGTGTGTACAGCTGTGTGTGTAGCTGTGTATGTGTGTGCCTGTGTGTATGTGTGTAGCTGTGTCTAGCTGTGTGTAGCTGTGCGTGTGTACAGCTGTGTGTGTGTTGTAGCTGGGTGTGTGCAGCTGTGTGTGTGCAGCTGTGTGTGTGTTGTAGCTGTGTGTGTAGCTGTGTGTGCACCTGTGTATGTGTGTGCCTGTGCGTAGCTGTGTGTAGCTGTGTGTGCACCTATGGGTTGGAGAGTGGCAATATAACTGCCCACCTAGTGTGAAATGAGGCTCTAGCTTGATCCCTGTGCAACAGCAATAACCACAATGAACTGCCCACGACACGTCAGCTCCTGCTTTTGAGTGCACTTTCTGTGCCTCGGCCGCGACATCCCAAGGGCTGGGGCGGGAGAACTTGCCTGAGTCTTCTGACCTCCCATGCTCAGCTCAGACAAGGACAGGTTTCTTAGGCCAAAGCCCGATGGTAGCAAACTCTTTAAATTTCGGTGGGGTTCAGGACCCTACCACAGCTTTTTCAGTTGTCTTCAGTGTTGGCAATAACTAGGTGGGAACTCAGAACCTGAAGTCCTACTCAGGCGCCTTTCTGACGCATGGTCAGCAAGAAGGTGCTGTCCTCACTCTCTTGGAGCCGAGTCCTGGAGCACTTCCTCTGCAGTAGGTGCAGCACCTGGCCTGGAGTGCAAAGACAAATCAGGGCCAATCTCTGTCCTGAAGCATGAAGAGTGATGGAGAGAACGACACAAATAATAAAGATGTGCCGTAAGAGAAGGACGTGTAAATTTGTATGGAAACACAGATGAGAAAGCAATTAATTCTGTTTGGAGGCAGGGAATAATTTCCAAGAAAAGGAACTAGAATGAATAAAGATGGGAGTGAAAACACAGAGGCTCTGAGAAGGTGCAGGAGGCTGCATGTTGGGCAGCATGCTTGGGGCCAAACCAAACATTAAAAAGGGGTAGCAAGTCCACTGAGCCGCACTGTCTGTATAATTTTATTTTAACTCTGCAATGTCATCTGGGCTACGTGCCCTGGAGAACCTTGCTATTAATTCTGGAAGTTGTGGACAATTTTTACATAGGAAACTGTGGTAAATCTATATCTTAGATGGTACTGGAGGCTTCATGGGGACATCCTGAGAAACTGCTTAGAGAGTCTTCTTGGAAGAAGGGTCATGACATGGAGACATTTCTGCTGTACTATTGCAGAGACTTGATAACTGACTGACTATGGCATCAAGGACAACCAAGACATTTTTAATACGAGCAGTGATGGGGAGAGAAGTCATCCAAGCAGTCCGGAACAGGCAGATTAATAAGCAAAGTTTAGGAAGGAAGAGGATGGTTTCATATTATTGAATTTGCTCAGTGGCTGTTGCATGCTACCTGGCAGGGTACCCAGTGGGAAATAGAAAATATGGGGGCAAGTTAGGCTGGAATGTAGATTTGGCATAGGCGCTCATTGGGGTGCAATTCAGCTGAGGTATAGAGAGAGTGGGAAGAGAATTTGGGGCAGAACTCTGAGAAGTCCCATCCTTGCTTCTTGAGTATCTTCATTAACTTGTCATACACCTTGAATTTTATGCCATGTTCTATTTCACTCATTGTTATCTTTTGAAAATTCTGGCAGCAAAACAAGAAAACTCTGTATCCTTGCCTCCTCTGAAAAAGCTAGTGGGCTCTTTGGTGCAGGCTGGGAACAGAACATAAACTGAGCCATGATTCATGTACAGGCACAGTTTAAATGGGCAGCATCCACAGGCAACACTGTTAAAATACACAAGTGATGCCAGGTATAAATGAGAGCAGAGCATGCACACAAAGACGGCTCATTGCTTTGCTGGACATGAAATACAGCCATCAGCAGTGCTGCCATCTGCTCAAGACAGCTCCCCCACACCTTCCCAGCACTGGGAACAATGGGAATGGACCATACTGACTGCTCTTCCCTTGACAATGACCAGCTCTCTGTGGGCAAAGGCAGAGGCTGCCCTCCAGCAAATCCCTCGGCCCACAATGGCCTCCACCAGAGCTCAGGGCACACGTTGTTCTGTTCCTGCAGCACTTGGGAGACCGAGTCTCTGAAATGAGAGGAGGAAGCTCTCTGGGAGCAGCGTCTTTGAGAATCTCACCTCAGGAGAGGGCATGCACAGACCTTGCCCACAGTGACTTAGGAGCCTGTTCTGCACATCTCCCAGAGGCCAGACCATCACTGTGCTCTGGCCTTACATCCTGGGCTCTAGCAGCTCCTGATTCTGGAGTCTGAAAGAAGTCGGCACTCATTTGGACAGGAATGGGATGTTCCGAACAGCCAAATACTGAGACCGCAGCAAGCCAATGTTCCCCACTCCTGCAGCTCTGGGCGGGGCACCGAGGCAGGAGAGCCCAGAAATGTGGCTCCTCTGTCTCGTTTGTTTTAAAGCATTCCTTCCAAACTCACCTCATAGTTCTGACTGCCCAACCCTGTAGTTCCCGTGATCGGCTCTCCTTTTCTCATACCCGTCCCACATGCACTGCGGTGTTGGATCTATGGCCAAAGATCGACCACTCAAGAAATTTGGAAGAGGAGCTGCTCAGTATTTTGTAACCAGAAAAAAAAGGTGGTGTACAATTTCAATAATGCTGCATGCAGACTATTTCATCTGGCTACTTGGAATATCTGTACTTCCAGAGAAGCACACAAAAGTATAAAGGAGAAGGGATAAAGTAGCATCCGGAAATCCCGACCATAATCCCATGGGTAAGCAATGTTGCTTGAAGCAGCCATACTTGGTTTTCAGTCCATTCACATTTTCCCATCATTTTAATGTTTGTTTCTAATGTAGTTTAGATATACTGCTTATTTCTTTTCTTTATATATTTTTCTCAAATATTTAAATGTTTCTCAAATATTAAAAACTATGGAACTAATTATTTGCATTTTATTTTCATGCCAAATAGATTAGAAAATCCAGAGAAGTTAGAGGACTCACATGATGTCACACAGCTAATAAATACTAACGTTGGAATTTCACATGGATCCTTGGCTTCCCGTCTATAACTATTTTCACTACAAGCATAGCTACAATATTTTATTGCTGGAGTTGTTCACCAGGCTAAACAGCCTGAATGCTGGCTGCCTTGAACCCTGTGAACTTTGTTCCAAACAAGTGTTCGGCTGTCTTAAAAGAGTCCAGCCTCTTCATGTCCCCAGTTTCCCACCTGGGAGTTACTGAAATGCTTCCACTACTAGACTGCAGACTGAAGGCAACATGCACACCTTCCCTTTCCATAAAGCAGAAAATGGAGGGCTTTGTGAAGAAACGCACACAGGTTGATGTTTGTTGTTTATCTGCTAAACACTTGTTTTCTTAGAATTAATGAAAAATTAAGAATGAATTCCAAAGCCATAAGTAGAATTTTCTTATTTACTTTTCAGAGTAAAAGTGCTTCCAGAACGAAACAGTATGTGTCATTCTAGTTCCAGTCAAGTCTACACTTCCATTGAGTTCTGACTGCACAACAGATGAGTTTTACAACGGGAAATTCAGAAACCACTCTCCCCTGTCACATATCATGCAAGTGTACTTTTTTTTTCAAAGAAGTTAGTGCCTACTTCCTCTCCAGAGCATCACTGAGGCCCTCAACATCACTCAGTAGGACTGTTGAAAACCACGGATGAAGCTATATGCATTTCCAGAAACTTTTTCTGCTCTGGCTCAAAGTTTCATCAGTGAAGATCTCAGTTGTGGTAACAATGTGCCTTTCATTACCTATTAATAATTTGTGTACTCCAGACAGTCTAGTATCTTTTGACCACAAACTCTTTTGGACAGGAGGCATCAGAAAAGGGATATCAAGGTATTTTACTTTTTCACTTTCCTTTCATTGTGAGTCCTTAAACCTGGCTTAGGTATTGCACCAGAAACCAATTCATTCAGATTTGCCCCAGGTGAAAAAAATAAAACTATATCTGTGTTTATAACCATCTTTCAGAAAATCTTTCAGATTTTCTTAATGTATTGCTATGGCCAAGATTTTGCACACAAACTCATACATAACAAATTACAAGTATAAATTGATGACAAAGCTTAATTAATTTTTCTAATTATAAAAAGACAAATTTTAATGTAGAATATTTGACAAATATTGAAAAGTAAAAATGAAGTAGTCAATAATCCCAGCACCCCTAAAATTTGCTAATTCTTTGGGGACTTAATTTTGGTTTTGTATGTACTTGTGTTTGAGTACATATGTTTAGAATATAAGACTGTAAATCAATTTTTATATCCTGCTTTGTTCCCATAAATATAATTATACATGGCTGCATCAATGCATAATTTATTTAGCTATGTTTTCCTATTAGTAGCTATTTACATTGTTTTTGGGCACAACTGAAAATGAGATTTTGATATTTTAGAACTAAATACGGGACCTATTGGCTATTATTAATAATCAGATTTATGTCAATGAAAAGACAAAATATTAATTGACTTAACAAAACATAACCACTCAATTGACAAAATATTTTAGTTTTATATTGTTTTCTTTATTGTTTCTATTAGGAAACAATGGTTAAAAATGGATTTGAAATTTTAAAAAGTCTTAGATTCTGATCCTGGCTCATGTATGAGTTCTCAATATATCAATTGTGAAACTGTAGAAAGTTATCCAAGTTTCTAAGGCCTCTTCTATAAAATAGTTAATGAAATGTCTGCTTGATAAGGCATTCTGATAATGACTGAGATAAGGCACTAAGGACTCATAGTTAGGAGTCAGGTACAAGACACACACATAGGCCATCCCAGACGACAGCACAGTGGAGGGCATGACAGGCACAGGATCTCCTGGGTCTAAACAGGATATACACCTGCCTCCTGTAGAAAAGCCAGAGGGTGAGGGTCAGACAAGGAGGGGCTGCTTGATACTAAGGTAAGTAGGAACAGGAATGGAGGTGAGTACTTTCCGAAGGGGCCACCAGGATGAGAAATAACTGGACATGGAAGGAGTTTAGGAGAAAAGGCATGAGACAAGGATGCTGTCAAGACAGTTCTCCGACCACTCTAGAAGAGACTGGGTACCCCGGGTGCAGGGCGAGGGGGAGCCCAGGCTTGAGTAGTCTGTGGGGATTAGGACTCTGGAAGAGAGGATTCATAGACATGTGCAGCCTTGATGAGAGCCATTGACCTCTTCTCAAGGTTCCTGTAGAAAAGCAGAGGAAATTTTTAATCTATAGTCTTAAGATCCAATGTAACAACTTCTATATTTTGATATTTTCCTATATATAATTTTATATTTTATTTTTAATTCTAGTTATATTTTTGCATGATCCTTCGCCAAATTCAGGCTATACAGGACTTGAAACATTTTCCCTTTTTCTTGTTAATCTTTGAGAAGCTTTATTTTAGATAATTGCATAATACTCAAGAATGAAGGTTGACCATGATGTACCTAATTCTTCCCTGAGGGTATAAGCGATTCATCACTGAGGGTATAAGCGATTGTTTTGTAGCATCAGTAATATTACCATGAGGATGTTTATCCTGCAGATTCTGCCCTTAGGTTAATGTGCTGATGGGAAAGGCTGTGGTCCATCCTTCTGGGGCTCTGCTCAGCATTCCATACCTAGATCTTGCCTTCTCTTTGGGGTTGAGATGGTCATGTGAACCCCTGAACTCATTTAATTGGACCCTCCCTTAAGAGTACTGCACACCTTTGCTTTTCTTTTCCAACATCTGGAACCTGGCAGGTACATTCTCGGCCTGTACACACGTGAAATTCAGCAGTGTAGAAGACTGAACACTGGAGACAATCAGCAACCACATTACATACAATTCCACCCAAGATTTAGGGAACCACTTTGTGCGCTCCTGGGAAAGTTCCAGCAAAATCGGTCATCCATTTCTCACAGTAGTGACCTTGGTATTGCCCCTGTAGTCTGGCTTTTCCTCTTCCCTTGTCTCTCTCTCGCTAGTCCCTCATTCTCGCTCTCCTTTGGGGGAATCCCAAGCTGCAACAGACATGGTTAAGGATCATAATTAATACCTGTTGCAATTTTTTCTTATTTGAATTTTAATAGTTTCTTAGGGTTTTATCTTAGTGAAATGTGATTTTCTACTTTCCACTGAGGATGGAGCTCTTAAATTGAGACTACACTTCGGGTACTAACCGACCAGTGAAACCAACTCTGCCCCACCCCACTGTCAATGGCAATGATTCGTCCTTTTCACATCGAGTCTTGCTCTCAGCTATGAAGACAGTGAGAGCTAGGGCAGGCGATAATGCCAAGAGCTCCCCTCTGTGGGCAGCAATGCCCACAAAGAGCTCAAAGTCTGGGGAAGTAAAACACAATGACTTTGCAAGCTCGGAGTCCCAGAAGCCTGACCTGCCATCTGTTTTGGATAGGTAAATTTACATTGCACTCCTGGCCCAGCACTGGTCTTGAAAGCCAGAACCTTGGAAAAAGCCTAACATTTGCCTGGGTCTCACTTAGTTTCCAATTGGCCCAGCCAGTTCTAGGGGTTCTGGTTCTGGATTCCAGCAGGACTCCATCCACACCTTTCAACGCAGGCTGTTTCTCAGCTGAACTCAGGACCCTTCCGTTACTGATATCAGTTGGGTTGGAACTGCTGTCACTTATATGGAATACATTAAGCACCAAACTGGATGGTTATCAAAAAGAAGATAAATAAATCCTAGGAAGTTCCTCTAGGGAAATGTGCCTATAGTCTGTACTCTAAGGCATACTTAAAACTTGGTAATTATAGAGTATCTTAAGGGTAATAAAATAAATAAAGTAATAATCAACAAGAAGGCAGAGGAAACTCGTGGGGTTGATGCAAAGGTGGTGGCATAGATTGTGGCCCTGGTGTCATGGGTGTGCACTTTCTCACACCACTTAGCTGGACACGTTAAATATGCACAGCTTTTTCTATGTTGACAGCACCTCAATAAATCGTCTTTTAAAAGACAAAACAATAAAAACAACAAATAAATAAGTCTAGAGAATGCGGAAAAGATAAAGATGAAGGATAGCTAAGAATTTGGGCGAAGACTTAAATTGGGGGAGTCCAGGGGTGAAATGCCTGCTGGGATGAGGGTCAGAAACACATGCCCACCTCTCAGGGTGCCCAGAACGCCCTGGTTAGGATGATTCCTAGACAGCAACTGTAAGTCACACGTCATGTGCTTTACACTTTACCAAACAGACGATCAGGCTCAGAGAATACCTTCCTGTTGTACTCTCCAAGATAAACAGCCTTCGTTCTTTCACTCCTCCATCATCCATCCCCGGAAGACAAGTTCCGGCAAGGATAAGGAAGCCACGTGCCTTGCTTCTGCTGGGCGTAACTAACTGCAGGCCTGCCTCTTCGCTGGGACTTGACCAAGCTGAATTGTTCAGCATCTGAACTTAAAATCCAACTCTTACTTGCACATACTATACGAGCTGCTTGTGCACTTCAATGACAATGGCATTATTCATTCCTTAAGATTGCCTGGAGTCCACACCGTTCCATTCATCAGAGCTTGTAAATATATTTACTTTTCCCCTAAATTGCTTTCATCCAATTCTTTTCAGCTTCTTTTCCTCCAGTGAGTAATAAGGAGTAAGAAGAGACTGTTGCAGCTGTCGTTGTTGCTGGGTAACCACGAGCCTGTAGTCTTTTCTGCTGTCGCTGCCATTAATTCACTTATTCAGCAAATATTTATTGAGTGTTCTACAAGGCAGAACATAGTAGCTGAGAAAATCAATGTGCTGCTACAGCTAATTCACAGAAGCACTTCTTTAAAAGTTCAAGACAAATACAATGATACTAGATAGAGGACCTACTAGTTCAGGATGGTTCAGAATTTTAACCTAGGCCACACCCCATTTTTTTGATGACCACACTTTTGATGATGTCACATATTTACAAAAAAGGATTTTTATTAAAAACCAAGTATCAAGCTGGCATGAGGAAAGGAGTATAAAGAAACTTTCTGCTCTGCTTTGCTGTGACCCTAAAACTCCTCTAAATTTCAGTACTTTGTTTACTTTTGCTATGAACCTCAAACTGATCTAAAACAGCAAAGTTTGTTTAAAAATCAAAGCAAAACCCAACCATCACCTGCAAGCCACTGTGCCCAGGCAGCGAGGATGGGACCAGGTCTCATTGCAAAGTTGAGCTGCTTGCTGTGTCCAAAAAGCACACACTTCCACCTTCAGAGAAATGCAAGTAAAACCAAATACTATTTCCATTCCATCTACGTATGTTTTCAAGCAGCTAGCTAGTAGTTGGGATATAAATACTCATTCAGCTATTGTACCCGACCATGTAATAAACAGAATTGTTAGGTGTTTCTTTTGGCTGAAAGAAAAGCAACTGGAACACTAAAAGCACCATGAGCCAAGAACCCTTGGGAGATTCTCGGCTAAACTGTACACAGCCCTCTGAGCTAAGCCTGTGTGATGTGTTCTTTTGAATCTTCCTGTCCTGACTGATTTTGCACTTGAAATATTTATTGCTGCCATTTTGAAAACAAAAACTGCCGGTGTCATTCACTCAGGAATGATATACAGTCTATAATAATTTTTTATGCTACACAATTCAGAACTTAATTTTATATCTGTAATTATTTTTATGTTCTCATATTTTCTGTCCTTGTAGATCACATAGTTCTCAAAAGCATAGCTGTTTTATGCTCTTATGTATGTGCACATATATCATAAATCAATTTGTTCTAAGCATAAGACAATTAGACAGATAGACACTGCACTTTTAATAATGGTTACTTTTGTGGTTGGGGATTTAGCTCAGTGGCGCTGCCGCCTGCTTCCCAAGTGCAAGGTCCTGAATTCAATCCCTGGCACCAAAAAAAAAAAAAAGGTTACTTCTATGGGACCTATTTTATATAAATTTTAAGAGCCTAGATTGTGAATGGGTCCCACTTTATTTTTCTGCATGTTCCTTTGGCATTTTCAAATACAGTGATTTTTCCTCATCCTTATCCACAGAGGATGTATTCTAACATTCTAAACCACGAATACTAAATAGTACTTATAATAAAGTGTAGTTTGCAGGTTAGAGATTAACAACTGGCAATGAAACGGACTCAGCAACAGACTGAGTCCTGTAGAAATGGTCTCTCTGCCTGGAAGTGTCTTAGGCTCCATATTCGCCCTCTGCTGGGGGCTCGGGAAGAGCCTGTGGGCTGAGTAGAGTGGGTGGCACTGGACCACTACACAGGCACTGTGACCCTGGGACAGGCAGCACGGGCAGTGTGGGCACTGGAGAAAGGGGTGGAGTGGGGCCAGTGAGATTTCACTGCACCCCTCAGTGTGGGGCACACGTCAAACCTTACAGATTGTTTATTTCTGAACTTTCTATCTTAGTATTTGTGCGAATCTTTTGACCATGGAGGGTGACACTGCGGATAGCAGGGAGCCTTGGAGACAGTCCTGAGAGACACTGTGATGGACAAACGTGGCAGTGGGACAAGGCAGTGTGGGGACAGCCATGCCCGAAGACTCAGGTAGCTGCCCTAGAAGTGCTCTCGGAGACTGCGCCCAAAGCGTTTCAGCAGCTCTATGTCGGGCACCGTGCTACTTGCTTTAATTTATTATTATTTTTTTACTTCTTACAACAGTCCTAGGAGGTATTAACTTCTTTATTTTACAAGTAAGAAAACAGAAGTTGAGTTCTTGGGTTTTTATCTGGTGACATGATAGGCTTAAAGCTTCAACTCCAGCTAGTCACAAAGAACCCACACAGCATAAGTCCGTCTGTACAAAATAACCCCAGAAGTGTGGGAAGAAGGCTGACAGGTTGCTGGGCCGCCAGTACTGGGGCGGAAGGCAGTGAGAAAGGTCGAGGAGCTGGGGATGAGTAGTGTCTGCCAGTGAGGGTTTGGGTGTGCGTATGTCTGGGAGCATACCAAAACATGGTAATGTCTGTGTCATTCAGGCTCCAGCTTAATAAAGCTATTGAAAACACTATGCTCTCCATTGTTAGGGATGAATATCTACATTACAATCTAACCCAAAAGTTTCAGAGGGAACTCAGAAAATGCTCAAAGGTGGTAATGCTGCCTGAGAAGTGTTCCTTGCACCCAGTACATCTGAGAGACAACTGCAGCATGAGCATTATTAGTGTGGCAAAGCCAGGTGATTGGTGGCCTTCATGTCACTGCCCCCACAAGCAGGACGTCTGACGCGTCCTCTCTCTCAAGGAATGGGTGTGCCTTGAAGTAAACCAGGAACCCAGAGGAGGACTTTTCCTGGGAAGGGAGCCTGGGTAGAAAAGAGGATTTCCCGAGCTGGTTTGAAAGAAGCCGTTGCCCAGTTGTGCTTTGAACCTACTCTCTGGGTTTCAAAGACTAGTTGGGGACCCTCTGGGCCGTAATTGTTTGATTACCATGGAACCTCTAATCCCAGCCAGAAATTCCGCGCCGCCCACATTTCTTTCTACTTCAGAATGTGTATCTAATAGCAACCAATTACTTTTCCTGTTTTCTCACTTGGAATCTGCTTTGGGAGCTGGGAATTGCTATCTTACAAAACCCATAACATCTGTGAGGAAGGGCGACCGCCCTGTAGGGAAGGCCCAGAGACTCCCTTGCCAGGCCTCCCTGGACTTCTTAAAGGTCTTTCTAGCCCCTTCCTCTTTCTCTGAGGGGAAAGAGTTTTGTGGTTAAGAGGTCAAGTTACTAAAGGAAACTTTCCAGGCTTCCGAAAAATTTCCATTCCGGACATATGAAGGCAAATTCTGAAGGAGCTGCCTTACTTGTGCGTGGCTTCTGGCAAGGCTGATTTGACATCATCCCTCCCAGCTGGTCCCCTGTGCATGGGCGCCGCTTCATGTCTAACGTGGCCTCAGCAAACCTAGCGCTGCATTCAGGGCTTTAAGCCACTTGTATTCTTATTCGCATGCTTCAGCTACATGGAGATGGTTTTATCATATTCAGAAACAGTTCTGTATTTGGAAAACATGTTCAAGATGAAGTGGTGTTTGAGGATTTGAAGAAAATGATCCTTTAACGTTTATTGAGTAAAGTTTTAGATTCTTCTCCTGCATTATTTTCCAAATAAGAATCTATTCCGAGTGCTTGGCTCCACTGGTGCCCCGATACATCCGCAGTTTTCAGACCAGCCGAGTTCAAGGGTGAAAAGGACGGTTTTGTTTTGGAGGAACTGATTTTGTTGTTGTGGAACAGCCTCTCTGCTCTTTGAGCAGACAACAAAGTGTCATTATCTGCGTTTGGAGTGGCTAATAAATTATTCATGCCAGTAATGATGACTGGAGTCTTCTTGGGGAATGTGAATGATGTGACTTGTTTTTCTTTCTCCTAAAGAAGAAACCGCTTTTGTAGACATTTCTGGCACACCTGCATGCTTGGGGAAATCTGGTGGGCTGAATTCCTGACACCATACTGCAGGCTGTGCACTGAAAACAGAATCCTCTGGATGTTTGGCTTTCTTTTGCATGATAGACACCATTTTTTAAATGAATTCACCAGGTTGAAAAAGAGTAAACTCATGCATGAGCTACTCATGGTTAAAGATCTGACACTGTGGATCCTATTAGTATCTAGATTTCTGGTTGCAGGTGTATAGGCCTTTGAGATGGCTGAAGTGTAGGGAGCTGAGGGGATCTTCCTAGGGAGGCTGAGCTACTGCGGAAACCCAGGGAATAGTCTTTATTGGACCTTACTGCATGCTCAGTGCTTGGTGCACATTATCTTATACAATCCTCAAAACAGTCTTATTTTGCTAACAAGGAAACAGAATTTAAATAGATTAAGTAGGTATTTTCTTTCAGATTCATTCAGCAAGCAAGTAGTGAAACTAAAATTTAAGTTAAAATATTGCTGCAAAGCTCACACTGTTCAGTGTTTCCTGGGGAGCTGCTGTGTGGCATAGGATGCTAAGCATTGGGAGAACAAAGGGCATGAATGGCGACTCTGACCTCAGAACTCACCAGCTCTGCTCACGCCATCCATGCACTCGGTGGAGGAGCCCTGATCGTCAGCTCCTGTGCTGTTCGAGGTGTGCTGCGCAACTCTGGGTCCACAGATGGCATTTGGGGCTTCACATCCAACACGGAGTCTGAATGATGAAGTGGAACAGAATGGGAGGAGTATCAGTCTGGATCCTGGCCCCTGACTGCAAAGAGTACAAGAAAAGCAGCTAGAGAACAGGCAGGGCCCAGATGGTGAAGATAGTGGCTGCTGACCACCCCTATTAGCCTCTGCTTCCAATAAACTGGACTCAAAATTGGCAAGTAGAGAAGCCAGAGAACAGGAGAAGCTGTAGCTCTGCCGAAATCCTGAGGATTTGTGAGCAAGGAGCCGGGAGATAAGCACAGAAATTCCTTCCCACTCTGCTCCAGCATCTGTGGAATGGACACTGCAGGAGAGAAGTGGGCAGAGAAGTGAAGACAAGCTTCAGTCCATCACACACTTGCTTCGTGCCGTCAAATGGCCAGAAGTGGGTCCCTCTTGTTAAGAGTGTGCTGTGTGCTCCAGTTTGCACTCAAACTCCACGGCTTTTCTTAGAAGAGGTGATTGAAGCTATCACTCCATGAGAAGTCTTTTTTCAGGGGGAGAGAATCTGCTACACTGATCTGTCATTAGGCAAACTACTCTTTTCAATGGGATACAGAAAATTAGCAGGGAAACACTTTCTTCTCTTCCAGAGAAGGGAGAGGAAAATGCAGATAAAAAAATGAAAAGCTTTTGTCTGACGAATCACTGGAGGCATTTGGAGGGGAGCAACTTTGCTTTATCTCCAGTACTAGACAATTCAGCTTGAGATCTTCCTTGTTGGAGAAGTTCTCTGCAAGAAAATGACCTCAACTCTTTAAACCTTTCATGATCCCCACTGTGTGTCGGACCCTGTGCAATGTGACACGGGTGTCACTCAGGATAGACGAGGTGGTGCTACAGTAAAAACAGACCTCATAGCTCCGGAGAATAAAATCCGCTGTTTATTCACACTTGCCCGCAACGGGCTGATGGACAACTTTGCTGATCAGTAACAGAGACCTGGCGTGAGGCAATGGGCAGCAGCTCCACAGAGGCCTTGCTGGAGGATCAGGAGCATGGGATAGCGAAGCCTTTGCCCACAGACGATTCGTTCCTTATGCTCCTGTTGTTTTCTCAGAGGAAGCTCCTTCTTACTGCAAGGACTGGGGAAGCAAAGGCCTCCCATGTTCTTGGAAGGAGAATGAGAATAATAGCTAGAAAACACTTTGTAGACCATGATCACGGGCAAACTTTCCCGTGCCCCGCTGCCCTTCTTCATAAAACTCATGTTGGCAGGGGATGAAGAAAGAGGAGGCACTGTGGTCCCCTCACGGCCAGAAGAAGGCCGCTGAAGCTTTGGAGGGGCAGGAGGTACAAGCGGTGACGGACTTCAGGCTGACTGCTAGGGATTCTGCTGTTCGGCCACCTCTGTGGAGAGGCATTTCCATGCAGTGGCCGTCTCCCTTCTCACTGCGTGGCTCAGTGCAGGGACCCACACAGTCACAGCCACCGTCAGCACCCACAGCACTTCCACCAGCCCTACACTTCCCTGGTGCTTCCTCACATCCTTGTCCACTGGCAAAGAAACTGAACTTCAGAGACACAAAATGTCCGACTATCCATTTATTTATTCCAAAAAATTATTTTTTAGAGAATCTGAGTGCCAGTTACTGGGTTTGTTCCTGAGGACTCAGAGATTGAAAGACCTGGCCTCTGTTTGTGGTAGCCATGAAAGGCAACCATAAAATAAATATCAAAATACTTCCAGTCCTTGCAATGTGTAAGATTGATGCCAAGTCCATCCCGTTACAATGCTGCACACTCTGGAGAGCTTTAACGAGAAACCCCAAATCAAGGTTGGAGTAAGTTACCACACATTGATTATATTAAAGTGTTATGGGGCGGAAGTGCACCCTGACCCTTTTGTATCGTGCTATTATATGCTTCACACAGGGCACAACTGCAATGTATACTTTTTATTAATTAATAAGGTGGTATAAATATTTAATGGCTGACTTGGAAATTCAACACTTTCCTTGGGATTTAACTTCAGAAATTATTTAAATTCCAGGACTACACAAAAATAAGTGGCACTACTGTAATCCTACAGAGAGTTCACCAAATTGAGGACTAATCAAGATATCTCGGAAGAATTTAATTATCATTTTCAAACATGATTTAGAGCTTTAGCTATTTTAAATGAAAATTCTGTGAAGGGTATGAAGAAAACTTGAGGTATTTAGACTCTGTTGTTCCAGCGAAATTAGCTCCCCACTCCCAAGAAACTCTGATCTGTCTTCTCCATTGTTGTTTTGGGCTGATTTTACCTCTTACCCAGCTATTCTGTGCACTTTCACACCTCCGGAGATCCCTTCTGCTTGTGATGCCCCTGTCTTCCTGTCTTCCTTGAAAGTCCAGTTCAAGACTCAGTTTAAACATCGTCTTCTCCAGAACACTTTCCTGGAAACCCTTCCTCCTCTGCTGCCTCCATGGCTGCACCGTAGCAGTGATCTTGCTGTCATGATTGGTCATTCCTGGGCTTTTTCAGGGAGCAACTGTGTTTTCATCCACGTATCTGTAGTGTGGTACACATGCTTGGATTCTCAATATCTGTATAATGAAGAAGCTGAACGAATGTATGTGTTGATGTTTTTATGACAATTTTTTTAAATCAGGGATCCTTATGAATACAAAAGCTTGATGTTTTTTGTAATCTTCAATCAAAAAGAATAGATAGTGTAGAGACTAAGAGCATCTTAGGCAACAGACTAAGGCAGAAAGCATTTAAACAAACATAAATGCTCGACCTGCTGAGAGGGTATAAAAAACGTAGGTCAGAGCCCTTAGTTAGAAATTTAGTACAGAAATTGAAGGTGTTCCCTTGGTTCATTTTCCTAATATCTTTGAGTCTTAGCTCTTTATCTTAAAATGGGGGTAGAGCAGGACTTTGTGTAAGAAAATTAATGTATACGAAGGTCTCAGCATCCACTGATAGCCAGTGAAGAAGGGCTCATATAGGAGATCCCTTTGCACTTTTAGAAACTGGCCAGAGAAGTACACATTCAGAGGCAAGTCTTCCTTCCCCTGGGTGCTGTGTGAAGCACATTAAGAATGATTCCGTGGGACAGGAGCGGTCTGCTTTGTACAGCTGGGCTTAGGACAACATCCTGGAGGTGCAGGTCAAAGTCTTGAGCCCTTCCCCAGTTGGTTGGCAGCTCCTCACCTCCCCAGCCTTGCAGAACGGACCAAGGCAAGAGTCCGACAGTTCTTCATTCCTTCCGGTTGAGCCTGACACTGAACACGCCTGCTTGCCTGTTTTTGGAAGGAATTACATGTTGAAAGCTCTGACTAGAGGGATTAGAGATGTGAACAACAACTTGACAGATCAAATCAAATACATTCTGACTTGATTGCATTACTAAGTCAATTATTATTTCTTGTCACATTAATTATGGCAAGAGTTATAAAAGTGTCTTCCAATAATTCCCTAACTATGTCATAATGGCCACCTCCTTGTGGTGAATCTGCATAAGACCAAGGCCACGTATTTGTGCCAAGAGTCAGGAGAAGGAAGGATTTTCATATTTCTGTGATGCTGTCTTAGGCCCTGGACTTAATTATCAATGTTAGGGACAGAAAACGCTCTCAGGGAACGTGTAGTCGTGAGGGTGAGGCAGGCTTGGAGACAGACAGGGGCATCTTTGAAGATGCAGGAGGCAGGAGGAAGGCCTAAGGACAACTTTGACCATCTGTTCAGTGAAGTCTTCAGAAAGGCTCTTCTTTTCGAAGCTCGTGCTGTTTTGCTTCAATTCTACCCTGAAACTGGGGAAGCATCTGGAAACTAGTGAGGACATTGCTTTGAAAACAATTGTTTTTTGTGTGGTGAGTGCTTAGCAGCCCAAGGGTAAGTTTTTCTGATGAGAATCGAAAGAAGTCAGGAGATATTTTGCTGAACAGATCATTGTTAGCAGAATAAAAGACCCAAAACATTCTGAAAGGATGCGTGAAGGCCTAGAGTGACAATCGTGTGTCACTGCTCCCACTGAAGTTGTAGGAAGAGGCTAAGGTCTATTTCCTGGTGTATGAGAGTGAGCTTGTAGCTACACACGAGTCTGGGCACTGTGCTGGGCAGAAAGGCATGGCGTCCCCAGGAGCCAAGTGCATGGCTGAGCCTGGGCTGCAGCCGAAGAGCAGGTGGCTCTCACGGGCTCCCTGAGCTTGCCAATGTCCTCCACGGTGCGCTGCTGAGGAAAGCGAGAGTCAGTGGGGTGTGCAGTTTAACCAGGGTCACCTAGGTAGCATGTGACAGCGCAGATTTGGTCATCATTGGTTTTCAGGGTCATTCTGTTGTGACGATGGAGCAATGTCCAAGGTGGAGCATATTTTTCCCAAGGTGGAGCAGGACAAGTGTGTTAAAGCAATCTAGTGGCACTCCAAACATATAAACTGCTGCCAGTACATTTATTCTATTTTCAAACTCTGTGTTAAGCTATAGTATGCCGTTCTGGTCAAATTATAATTCAGTAAAAAGTGAGAGATAGAGAGCAGACCCAGCAGTGTTGCGAACTTCTGTCTCTAGAAGTTTTATAAGAATTTAACATGCTGTCCAATTCCAGACACTAAGCTCACTTTCTTGCATAATGGAGGCAAGTGGAGAAAAAGAACTAACTAAGCACTCTGCCAACAACAGCAGTAATGACAGAGCAAGAGCCACCGTGGGCTGCGCGGATCAACACAGTGCATCTTCACGACAATGCCGGGGCGGAGCGTGGCTCAGTAGTCCAACACTTGACCCCTCACTCTGCACAGAACAAAACAAAAGCACTCCAAGTAGCAAGAAGCAGTTCCACTATGACTTTCATTCTACACAAGTGGAAACTGGGAGGCAGCGAGGCGGTGTCACTACCCAAAGGTCACAAAATGGCAGGTGGCACCGTCTACCTGGGCATCGGGCTGCAGCTCAGACTTTACAGATGGTTCCCTTCTAGCATGAGATGCAATCAGGTGAAATGTCTCCACTGCTATTTTCGGGTAAGGAAACTGAGACTCAGAGGAAGAATGAAATATCTAAGTTCACCAAGA